ATTAGTGAAGCTGAAGCCGAAGAGTTCTGGAGGAAAATGCAGCCGGAAGATTATTCAATTGTGAAGAATTTGGAGAAAATGCCGGCTCAGATCTCTGTATGGGCCTTATTGATGAGTTCGCAGTTGCATAGGCAGGCTCTTATGAGAGCTTTGGATGATACTTATGTGCCTGTGGGTACTAACAGTGACAATCTAGCAGCCATGATAAACCAAGTCATTCGAGGACCCCGAATTAGTTTTTGTGACGAAAAGCTGCCCTTTGAAGGTAGGATGCACAACAAAGCTCTGCATGTCACCACCATGTGTCGAGACAAGATAATATATTGCGTCTTGGTCGATGATGGATCCGGTCTTAATATTTTGCCCACTTTCGACTCTGAGGCAGCTAAAATTTGATTTGGGAAAGCTTCACCAGAACCAAGTCAACGTGAGGGCTTTTGATGGAGTGCAAAGAGACACCTTAGGTGCGGTGAACTTGGATATTCAGGTGGGTCCTGCGGAATTCAACGTCGAGTTCCAGGTGTTGGACAGTCAACACCAGTTACAACTTGCTTCTGGGAAGACCGTTCATTCATATGGCTGGGGCTGTGCCATCTACCCTTCACCAACTAATGAAGTTTGTTTGGAAGGACTAGGAATTGGTCATTTATGGGTGAAGGGAGCCATTCCAATGGGTAATGCGCCGATCGTTGATGATGTCTCTCGAGGTTGTGATTTCTACACGGTGGAGCTGGTAAATGCCACCGGTGATGACTTGGCTCCACAGCCTCCTATTCTTGCCGTGTAGAAGATGATTGCTACTGTCATGCTCCAGAATGGTTTCGAACCAGGTTTCGGGTTGGGGAAGCATTTCTAAGGAATCGTCGAGCCTATCCAAATTCCTGCCATAGGAGCAAAGTTTGGTTTGGGGTATGTCCCCACGGATACCGATGAAGCAGAGGTGAAGAACAAAAGTATTGATCAAGCATTGGCTAGGCCAATTCCTCATCTGTACCAGTCATTTCCAGTACGAGAAAATGTCAACGATGGTGCTCTCGGGGAAGGAATCTGTGACCTTTTTGAGGAGATTGATGCGGTCATCGAGGAAGAGGCTGGGACATCAGGCATCCGTGATGCAGAACCTGATGAGCGATTGCAGAACTTGACCTCCACGCCACTCCTGATTTCCCGCTCATCTGGGTAGAAAGGACATGCGTTTTTGTTTGTTTTAAAATCGGTGGTAGTCCGAAAGAGGCCCGAGACCCACCCTATATGAAATTGTTATTTGTTTGAAGTTTTTAAATTCCTTTGTGATGTTTAAAAAAGCAAAATGGCCCTCGGCCATGGCCAAAGTTTGCGCTTATTTTTTTTCAATTTAAATGAAAGCCTCATTTATCAAAAATTGTTTATTTATCTGTTTATATTTTACTTTTCTAACTTTGTTTGTTTATGATTTCAGTAATATTAATTTAAAACCTGCCAATGTCATGTCATGTCATGAACCGAGTGAACGAAATGAGGCAGGTGATGATGAGTGTGAGGAATAAGGAGAAGAAAATGAGGTACCCGAACATGTTGCTGAAGAGTTTCGACAATTCGAGAATCAACACAAGCCGAATTTGGAGGAAACCAAAACTGTGAATCTCGGTGATGAGGAATGTGTTAAGGAAGTAAGAATCAGGGTCCATCTGACTGAAACTCAAAGAAGAGACCTGGTTCGTTTGCTCAGGGAGTACATTGATGTATTTTCCTGGTCTTATAGAGATATGCCAGGGCTGCGTACGAATATGGTGTCCCACAAGTTGCCGATCAATCCAGATTTCAGCCCAGTAAAACAAAAGACTCGGAAATTCAAGCCTGAGTTGAGCTTGAAGATCAAAGAGGAGATTACAAAATAGATCGAGTCTCAAATAGTGGAAGTGCCGCAATATCCGACTTGGTTAGCCAATGTTGTTCCAGTTGCCAAGAAAGATGGAAAAATCAGAATTTATGTTGACTATAGAGATCTCAACAAAGCTAGCCCGAAAGATAATTTTCCATTGCCAAACATTCACATCCTCATTGATAACTGCGCTAAGCATGAGATGCAGTCATTTGTGGAATGTTATGCGGGTTACCACCAGATCCTGATGGACGAAAAAGATGCAGAAAAGACAGCTTTCATCACGCCCTGGGGCGTATATCATTATCGGGTGATGCCTTTTGGTCTCAAGAATGCCGGTGCTGCTTATAGGAGGGCCATGACAACCATCTTTCATGAGATGATTCATAAGGAGATTGAGGTGTATGTAGATGATGTCATAATCAAGTCCCGCGAGAGTTCGGATCACTTGACTCACTTGAGGAAATTCTTTGATCGCTTGCGCCGATACAATTTGAAGTTAAATCCCGCCAGGTGTGCTTTTGGGGTGCCAGCTAGCAAGTTTTTGGGATTTATAGTCAGCAAGAGGGGCATTGAACTTGACCCTTCCAAGATCAAGGCGATCCAAGAATTACCTCCTCGAAAGACCAAGAAAGAGGTGATGAGTTTTTTTCGGAAGGTTGAACTATATTAGCCGGTTCATAGCTCAATCCACCGTGGTGTGTGAGCCCATCTTTAAGTTATTGAAAGCAGATGCCTCAACCAAGTGGACCAGAGAATGTCAAACTGCTTTTGACGCCATCAAAAAACTATTTATCCAATCCACCGGTGTTGGTCCCTCCGCAAGAAGGGAGTCCGTTATTGCTATATTTGTCAGTCTCGGATAACGCCTTGGGATGCGTGCTTGGTCAACATGATGAAATAGGGAAGAAGGAGCGAGCCATTTATTACCTGAGCAAAAAGTTCACTCTATATGAGGCTCGTTACACTCTTTTAGAGAGAACATGTTGTGCTTTGACTTGGATCGCTCAAAAGCTGAGACATTATTTGTCTTCTTACACCACGTACCTTATTTCCAGGATGGACCCGTTGAAGTATATTTTCCAGAAAGCAATGCCGACAGGGAAGTTGGCTAAATGGCAAATGTTTTTGAGTGAGTTTGACATTGTGTATGTGACTCAAAAGGCGATAAAAGCACAAGCGTTAGCTGATCATCTTGCGGAGAATCCAGTTGATGAAGACTATGAACCACTCAAGACTTATTTTCCCGATGAGGAAGTTTCGTTTGTTGGTGAAGATATTTCTGAAGCGTACCCTGGTTGGAGAGTGTTCTTTGATGGAGCGGCGAATCACCAAGGGAGAGGTATCGGAGCAGTCTTAGTCTCAGAGTCCGGTCAACACTATCCTATGGCAGCCAAACTCCGATTTAATTGCACAAATAACACGGCTGAGTATGAAGCTTGCATCCTCGGTCTGAAGATGGCAAATGATATGAACGTTCATGAGTTGTTGGTTATTGGAGATTCAGACTTGCTATTTCATAAAGTTCAAGGAGAATGGGCCGTGATGAACCTGAAAATCACACAGTATGTTCTGTATATACAGAAGTTGCGCAAAAGATTCCACAAGATTGAGTTCAGACACACTCCCAGGACGCAGAATGAATTGGCTGATGCTCTTGCGACTATCGCCTCAATGATTAAACATCCAGATACAAGTTATATTGATCCAGTGGATATAGAGGTAAAAGAACAGCCTGTTCATTGTTCACACGTCGAAGCGGAACCCGATGGTTTGCCGTGGTATTTTGACATCAAGAAGTATTTAGAGGATGGGACTTATCCTGAGAATGTAACGTTTAGCCAGAAGAAGTCGATATGCCGCATGACCCTCAATTTCTTTGCAAGTGGAGAAGTCATTTACAGGAGGACTCCAGATTTAGGTCTTCTTAGATGTGTTGATGCTAGTGAAGCTGCAAAGCTTCTGGAACAAATACATGCTGGAGTTTGTGGTACTCACATGAACGTGCTCACTTTGGCAAGAAAGATCCTCCGAGCTGGCTATTTCTGGATGACTATGGAGCATGACTGTTGCAAGTTTGTGCAGAAGTGTCAAAAATGTCAAGTGCATGGTGATTCGATTCGAGTACCGCCTCACGAACTTAATGCTATGAGTTCACCTTGGCCATTTGTAGCTTGGGGCATGGACGTCATTGGTCCAATAGAGCCACCCGCCTCTAACGGACACATATTCATTTTGGTTGCCGTTGACTACTTCACCAAGTGGGTGGAAGCAGCTTCATATAAGTCGGTGACTAAGAAAGTTGTAGCTGATTTTGTTCGGAACAATTTGATATGTAGGTTTGGAGTACCAGAATCCATCATTACTGACAATGGAGCGAATCTCAACAGTCACTTGATGAGAGAGATATGTGAACAATTCAAGATTACTCACCGAAACTCAAC